GTCCAGGTCGGGCCGTTCCCACTCGGCAGCTTCGGCGAGGGTGGCGACGCAACAGCTCGGTGAGGCTGGGCCATGCAAGATTTGGTATGGCAAAGTATGGCAGAGTATGGCAGAGTATGGCAGAGTATGGCAGAGTATGGCAGAGTATGGCAGAGTATGGCAGAGTATGGCAATGCACGGACACGCAAACACATCGCAAACACAAATGTGTTCACTTGCATGGCATGCAGTGAAAGTGGTGCTGTCTGGAGTGGCTTAGAGGCAATCGCTCCCCGAGGTGGCTTCAGGCTGGCTCATGCTACTCTCATGCTTCCAGTAAGGTTCGTGTCGTGGTCAACGTTCTTGCAAGGTCCTCGCTTCCCTTGCCTACGCCTGACATGGGTGTGCGATCGGAAGCCTTGAGCTCTGACGCAGCTCGGCCGAATAGAACTGGTGTGGAGTCGGTGGTGTGCACGTGTGGAGTTGTGCGAGTTCCACATGCAGTGCTCGCAGTGTCGTGCAAAACCCAGGCCTTCAGGCGGCGCACCGAGGCAGCTGGTTTTACTTTTCCCGTTGTTGGTACGACTCCTATTGCGACTACTACCTGCCGCATGCCTTGCCCAGGCTAGCGGACATGGCAAGACAAACGAACCCTTGCCGTCGCCTACGGCCAGATACCCCAGAGCAACCGTCCACTTTCACCACGCGCGACTCAAATAAGTGGAGTCAGTGTAGTAGGCAGCACATCATGACCGGCCCACATGCAACTGTGCTGACAGCGCCCATCAGGTTCTTACAAACGTGCTCCACCTGCCAGATGATGCAGACCTCGGCCTACGACAGTCAAGGCAACAGAGAAGCAGCTGGGAAAGGGTTGCACATGGTTGCACCAGACTGGCCATCAGGACTGAAAGCCCGAGCTCGCCTTCATGGCAGGCCCGGATGGGACCCGTAAGGTAAGTGGCATATATTTTTCGAATAAGTCATAAAGATATAGATTATTTATATGACAATATAGTAGCATCTCTGGCATCGACCTTGAACAGCAGGAGTCCTGGAATGCAGCAGATGGGCGCACCAGCCCCAGCAGGACCTGAAGCATCCGGCCACATACTGCAAGATTTCAGTGCAGCAGTCGGGTTCTTTCAGCGTAACTTGCAGGATCATGAGAGCGGCGACCTCCACAAGCCTGACGCCTGCGGTTTCTCAGGTCGCTTGGCTAAAGACAACGATGCTACATGAACTCAGCGTAGGCGTATTGGGTTTGAGGGCTTTGTCCTGAGGAGTCCGGCAACCTCCTCAGCCTTGGAGGTCCAAGGCTGGCATGGTGCTGCAGCCTTTGTGAATAAAAAGAAGAAGAAGAATAGTAAAAACAAGAATGGTAGTACTAATCGTAACAAAGAAGAATCATGTTCAAACAATAGTAGTAATAATAATAATGTTGATCCTCCGGCAGCCTTGGCCAAAATGCACCTTGCAGGCACAGTAGCCCTTCGCAGCTGGGAGCGAGAGGCCTCCATGCCGGGGAAGAGGCACCCATGAGATCCCGTTAGCACTCCTCTCTGAACTCTATGAGCACTCCTTTGTGTGGCCGAAGATGATGTCGATTGACCGGCAGGTGGCATCGCAAAGCACTGGCAGCACCGGCTTCAGGACCATGTCGTTTATTTAGGGTTTAGGGTTTAGGGTTTAGGGTTTAGGGTTTAGGGTTTAGGGTTTAGGGTTACAGGTTTCTTGGAACTGGAGAGATCGCCCGCATGTGGAGGCAAAAAGCCCCGAGCTTCTCTTGGCCTGGCACAGATACGACTTCGTTTCTGACAGAGGCCGCATCGCATGTGTGCGGACCACCTCATGCGTGCTTCATGCGTGCTTCATGAGAGTATCAAAGCACTGTAGAGCAAAGGGGTGTTTGCATAGTTTACGAGTTCACGAGAGCTGGATGTTTCGACACATCCTGGCTAAATTGCCGCCTTCCCCAAGCCGGATGCTGAAGCAGGAGCCCCCAACGAGCACGACCCAGAGGCCTAGTGCTCAGGTCTTTTTTCTGGTCAGCGTGGCACAAGGTTGAGACAGTATATTTAGTTTCATTTCTGTCATTCATTATCTGCAACGTTCGGCTTCCGCGTGTATGCTTTCATAGAGTCGAGTCGAGACGAACCGAGCCGGCGTCAGGAGCTCGAGTCCAGGGAGCCGCGCGCGTGCAGGCACCGAAGCTGTCCGAGCCCTTGGCTGTCGGTGTCAGGGGGAGCTCCCACAAGTCCTAGAGTGGCCTTGACTTCAGTGGCGGTGTGTCTTCCGAGGTGTCCTCACCCTCCAGGCCGAGCTGAAAGAACCTTGCCTCGGGAGTCGAGCTGTAGAGATGCTGCAGGCGGAGCCCGGGCATCGCCACGGCAAAAGCCCTAGATGGTCAAGATTCCTTACGGTCGTCTCACCGTGCAGTGATGCTATGTCATTTCTGTCGCAGGAGTATACATCAGCCTTTCGCAGTGGGAGTCCGCTTCATGCCAGAGCCCGTGCAGCCACCGCAGCCGCCAGGGCCTCCAGGTCACGTCCGCGTGGCAGTTGCCGAATGTTATCCAATATTGTGGATAAAAGGCTGAGGTCGCACAGGCCACATAGATTGCTCGGCACTTAACTTAAGGCCTCAGCGTCGCTGGATGGAAGGCCGGGCACACAGAAACATTTCTGGACATGAGCTTGGCTGTCAAAAGACCTGGGAGGTTTGATCTAAAAGGAGCTGAACCTCGGCTGAAACCGTGTGAAGAACCTGCTTTGGCCATCCATGGCTTTGATATGCTAAAAAAACTTATCATACAGCATGTGCATGAACGAAGAGTGCTCGAGAGATAAGGTGTCCTCCAGCTCAAGGCCGAGTGCCCGCTACTCCCTTTTGCCAGCCCAGCACATGCCTTGCAGTGTGCGCAGGCAGAGTAGCCCTTCCTGGGCAAAGGCCGGCAAAACCCGTAACACCGTTCCGAGTTCGTTGTAGAATGTTCTGGGGTGCGCTTAGTCTCAGAGGTGGCCATTGTGTCGTGGCAGGCTTCCCAAAGCGCCACCGTGCACACCGTGCAGGGGAAGGGGCAGAAGGAGGATTCCGACAGTGAAGGCGAGCCTAATGCCGTTGGTGTTCCTGCTGATCCTGATAATGACCTTACTGCCGGTGACGAAAGACACGACAACAGCAACAATAGCAACAGTGACGTCGACGACGACGACGACAACGACGACGACGACGACGGGTGACGGTGACGGTGACGGTGACAACTGTGACAATGATGATTGGGATGGTAGTGGGGTGGTGGTGGGGTGATGGTGGTGATGGTGCTGATGATGGTGCCTTGATGATGGTGCGATGATGATGGTGACGATGGTGGAAAGATTGTGCGTTTTTGATGGTGGTGATGGTGGTGGTGGTGGGAGTGGCGATGGTGCTGGTCATGGTGATGGTGGTGGTGAAAGTGGTGCTGGTGGTGGGTGGTGGAGGACTCACAACGACGACGATACAGAAACTATTGACATGCTACATGAGAGTTGTGATGCTGCTGATGATGATGGCGATGATGATGATGACGATGACCATCATCATGTTGTTGATGATGATGACAACAACAGTGACGATGACACACTTTGGCTGCAGGCAGCGAGAGCAGCGCCAGCTTGTCGCCAGAGGAGGCTGACAGGGACTGGTAGACATGTCCTAAACCCCCTTAGCTCTCAATAAAATACTCAACCTTCTTGGTCCCTTGGGGGCCTTTGGGCTCTTTTCTAAACCTTGCACTTCCCCACTGGTGAGGAAGCAGCCCAGCAGGAGCAGCTTGAGCGGGATTTGGAGGAGAGCTGCACTTTGCTCAAGCTGCACAAGGGGCGCTCTACATGTAACAAGGATCCCACAAAGGCCGGAAATTTGAGAACTGCCCACAGGACCAAATATGAAGAATGTACAAAGCTCTGCACCCTTTGCCCACCACCCCCCCGCCCTCCTCCTCATCCCTCACTGTTTTGGCTCGGCGTCTGTGCGTGGAAGGAGCTTGCAGCGCGGTTTGCGGCTCCCCACCGGCGGCCTGCGAATGGAAAGGCGGGGCTCAAGGGTTGAGGCTGCGAGGCGATGTGGGGCTGCGTTTCGGTGGCTAGACGGATGTAGAGGGTGCTAGCCTTGAGGTGAGGAGCATTCGAGTGTCCGAGCCCGTCGACCTCCTGGCACTTGCTGACCAGGCCTTCCCTTTTTGCAGCTCTTGTCCTTGTCGTCCTTCTCGCCCTTCTCGTCCCTTCTCGCCCTGGTTGCCAGGGCGGTGGCTTGGGACGCTCGGATGGCCAAGTGGATGTCAGGCCCTGTACGCCAAGTAGTAGACCAGAAGGACGCTTGCCCTTCCAGCGTTAGACTCCGACTGCGCAGGCCAATGTGGCGCAGGACCGGTTGATGAAGCTGGAAGATTCTGCCACGATTTTTCTTTCTTTCAGCCCATTTGCCCGAGGACCCTCACTGAGCCAGCCCTTGCAACAGAATGACCGACAGCTTCCAGAACTTGTTTCGGCAGCCGGTTGCCCTCGCAGCCTGAGTGCCACGTCGCTTTTTGTTAATGTCAACAGCGCAAGGAACATCCATCAATGGATTGCCTTGCCAGAAATTCCAAGGTGCACAGTTTATTTGCTCGTCCTGCATTGAACGCAGACACGCAGCGGTTACCAGCAAATCTGGTATCGGTTGCGTCTCTGTGTTTTGCATACTACTGAGATGATTGCAATGTTGCCGGGCCTTTTCATGGTCATCTTCCGAGCACTGCATCACTGTATTCCCCAGAGGGCTTAGTCACGTACTGGCACAGCAATCTTTGCGATCATCCACGCAGGATTGTGAACGGCGGAGAGCAGGGAATCGACTCAACGACGGGGCGACCCAATGTGGGGACAACTGCGAAACACTTGCCGTGGCATCGACACGTACAGCACAACTTCTACCAGCAGTGTTGTTCTGCTTGGCAGTCGTCGGTTCTCTTGTCTTCACTCGGATTTCTTCTCATGAGGTCAACGCGCAGGTAGTTGTGGGCACACCAGGCAAGCTGCAGGCGGCCTTGTCTGATATGGCGGCCTGAAGCCCTAAACCTCCCAAAACACAACATCTCGTAGATCAGAGGACTGGCTGAAGAAGAGGATCATCAACCCAAAGGACTTCCGCATCTTCGTGGTCGACGAGGACTTTGGGGTTAGCAGTGCTGACATGGCCCCAAAAAAAACCCCTTAAACCCTAAAGCAGCCTGGAAAAGCCCCTAAGTCTTAAGCTTTTTGCATCTTTAAGCCCTAGGCCGCAAACTCCCCAAGCCCTGAGCTAGCGCCAGGCTGACCAGATGATTGACGAGGCTTCTTTGCGGCAAGATCTTGCCCCTCGGTTATTTCCTGCAGTGCGTGTGGCAGGAGCAGAGTATGGGTGGGCAGGCCAGCTTTCGTGCACATATACCACAATGTAATCAATAATGTATTTACGCTGTATTCTATATGTATACGTATATTCATCCTGTATGCTGTATATGTAGAAATGTACATATTCACACATTCTATGAACACGAACACCCGAGAGCCTGAGCTTCATGGAGGGGTGCCGGCAGGTGCTGGACATCCGCCGGATGCTCTCCAAGGATCTCCAGGCTCCACGCGCAAGCAGTTTGATCTGGCTCCAAAAGATCAAGATGCCGTGAGCTGTTGCAAAAAGACACCGCTTCAGCACAGCATATTCTAAACTATATCACATATATATATATATCTGTATGTGTATGTGTATGTGTATGTGTATATGTTTATATATAGACATATACACATAGAAGTATATCTTGCTGCTTCACACGTTCAGATCCTCTTCTTCTCGGCGACATGGCCAGACTATGTGGCGAAGCTGGCCAAGCTGGGGCCTCAGCACTTTACAGGGCCGGATATACATATACACATATACATATATGCAATGTATACATATAAATACATATGTGTGTATGTGTGCATATCTTAAAAAAGTATAGAAATATATATATATATAATATAAATATAGAACATCGTTTAATCTTTCTTCATGAACAAATACATACAAAAGTATATATATATATAACAATCTCTGCATATATGTATATAACAATCTCTGCAATCCAGAGGTCCATGGTGCCCAACCCGAACGTCATACACGTGCGCCCCACAGCGCTGTGTTCAGAAGGCCGGGTAGACCTGCAGGAAACTTGCTACCTTCCAGAGGTCAAAAAAGAGGATCTCACCCTGACTACCATCACGCAGACGCAAGGGCCTTCGAAATGCAGACGCTCTGTGCGTGTGCGTGTGCGTGTGCGTGTGCGTGTGCGTGGGCGTGTGCGTGGGCGTTTACCGTCTGTTCATCGCCTGTTGCTGCCTTCCAGGTTCATGAATGTTGGAACAGACGACAACAAGAAGTACAAGCTCTCTGAGCTTTACAGCGTGATGAACGTGGGGCAGAGCATCATCTTTGTCAACACCAGGCTTGGCTGTGATAGCGGCAGTTACCACACGACTGCACAAGTTGATAACAATTTTGGAAGCCTTTCTCCCATGCATCAGGCAAACTGCCTGGGATCTGGCGACCTTCATGAAAGCCAATGGCCACACGGTGTGAGCCTCAGAGGGCCACGCTCAAGTGATTGGTGTTGAGATCCGTTTGTCATAAGGTTTCCTTGATAACCGGAACGCAGAAAGGCTGGATGGGCCTTGGGCTTGCTGCTATTTCTGAATCGGGCCTGCTGCTTGAGCTGAAGCAGGCCAAATTGAAGTGGCTGAGCGAGACAGGGCCGGTGCTTGCTGCTTGCTGTTGCCACATGCCAAGCACTGCGAATCTAGGATGACATTTTCCATGGAGGTCATGGAGGAGTTTCGCACCCTGGTGACGCGGGTGCCCTCCCCTTTGCTTGGCTGCCGTGGGAGAATCAGACGTTCACCCGAAGCGCAGGTCCTGATCTCCACGGATGTCCTGTCGCGCGGGATCGATGTGCCGTCAGTGACCGTGGTCTGGGCCTTGAGGTTGAGTTGTGGGGTTGGGAGCTGTGACGCTGCCAGCAGGTGGTGAACTACGATTTGCCGAACGGGACTGAGAAGATGGAGACGTACTTGCATCGCATTGGGCGAACTGGCAGGCTGTTGTGATCCTCGTGTTGACCGTCCAGCTTTATGGGGGTTTACGATAAGAAGGGGACCCTAAGACAGACCCCCCAAGTAGCAGGATCCCCTTTTCATAAGGACGCCAATAAGGTACCCCTAATATCCTAAACCTCCATACAGATGGTGTTGCTTGCGCCAGGTTTGGGAAGAAAGGCTTGGCTGTGAACCTTGCGTCGGATCGCGATCGTCACCGCATCGATGAGATCAAAAGGTGAGCCGCCCAGACTAGAAGAGGCTTAAACGTGCAAACTCCCATTGTCCGCTTTATTGTTGGCTTGCAGAATAGATGCCACATATAAACCCCTTAAAGGGTATATAGGGGATATATGGTGCCTTCTTCCCCCATTCGATCAAGGTTCTACAACTGCGACATGGCGGAGCTCAGTGGCGACGTGGAGGTCTGGGCTTTGATTCCTCGGCACCGCCACATCACCACAAGCACTCCCAGCACTCTCGGGACTCCCATCACCCCAGCACTCCCATCACCCCAGCAAAGCAGCAGCAGCAGCAAAGCACAGCAGCAACAACAGCAGCAACTACGAGTAGGAATGAAACAGGAGAGCAAAACTATGGTGCCCATGTGCTCATGGGCTACATGAAGAACAGCGCTTGCAACCTGAAACCTCGCAAGCTCCCGAGGAGGTCGAGGCCATGCTCAAGCCAATTCTGGGGTGAGAACTGGAGCCACGGTCAGCGGGGGCTGGTGATGTCCCCACACTCTTTCTAGCCATGTACATAAGTATCCAGAAGTATCCAGGATCTTCTCGCAGATACATAAGCATCCAAAAGTATCCAGGATATTCTCGCAGGATAAGTGTTGCTTGTCATCACCAGCGGCGTTTTGTCTGGATGCTGCACCATGTACAGATCGAGGCATCGCGAAATGCCAGAGCAAGCTGGCGAAGCTTTTTCCATGCCAACCCACAGTGTTCCCCGTGCCTGCCAGGTTGTATTGTGATTGTGTGCATCTCGCAGCCAAAGCGGTTCTTATCCTCGAGTGTGTCCACGTCAGCGATCCTTGCTGGCGTCGGCCGTCTTTCCACAACCGTCCGTACATAGCCACAAGCTCGGCAATCATAGCGTTAAGCCTGACACTTGTGCACCCCACACGATCGCAGGCAACAAGCCCAGCACGTGTCAGACTGCACTAAGGACATGAAGCGCAGTCGGAGCCCAAGTGGCAAACAAGAATGCAAGCCTCGGGCTGGATTCGACGCAGAGTGCATCATGGTGTCAGGAGACTGTGGCATGATTCCATGGAGACTGTGCCCCAAAAAATGCGAAGGCATTTAGCTGCATCTCTCTTTGATAGCGCAACCTGTGGGGGCCCAAGCCTCCAACTGCAAAAGACCCCCAAACTTTCTCTTACAGGTTGCACGTGCCTGGCAGGATTTGACACCTGCAAGAAGCCATGGTGATTGCAACAGCGGCAGCTGCTGCTGCCGCGGGCATGACCCCAGGCGAGGTCCTGTGAGCTTTCATCTTGAGCTTCAATAGCCATGCAGCGAATCTGCATCATTCGTTGATCTCTTCACGTTGCAGGTACTGCTACGAAGGCCTGGCATCCCCGCGAGTCCCCGCAAGGGTTCCCGAATCGCAAGGAACTCCTCTCAACTGGGGAGCTCTCAGAGTTTCGGAAAAGTGTGGTCCCGGCTCACCAAAAATTCTGCGTGCCAGGTGTTCGAATACAATCGAGACAATTTCATGGAGGATCGTGAGCAGCGTGCTTTCTGCCTTGTTTGCATGTCTGGACAGTCGACATCGGAAAATATCGAGCTCTGGACAGGGTCAGTCTTATGATCATTTTGAGTGTCCTGCCGTTAGCCAGGTATGAAAAAGGAGTTTCGCGAGCGGAGGTATCGCGTTGTCCAGGCGCAGCTCTGGCGTCAGGAGCTTTGATTCGTTGTTTGTGGCTGATGGCTTGTTCTCAAGGCGCTAGCAATGGGTACATGCTGGCGTTGCATTCTGCGAGATGTTCAGTACATACCAAGGGTTGACTCTACCGTGGCCTCGAAAACTTCTTTCGCAGGATGTTCCACCTCGCATGCAGGACGTGCGGGACTTCGTGTCCCTCACAGAGCAGAAGATGTCTCTGTATCTCATCATCAACGCCAGGGCCTTGCGGCGCACGCGCATGGGGGGGTCGCCTTGGTCAGTGTCCCACATAACCTGGCTTCGCAGTTGAAGTTTCGCTGGCGCACAAGCTGCACCGCCGGATGTAAAGTCTTGAGTTACATAGAACACGCGAGACCCTGCACTAGTTCAGGTTCTCCTGCTCAGCTTCACGGTCACGATGTGGGTCGAAGGTCAGCTTCCCGAAACCACTCCGGATTGGCTGGTCATGGGTCCGCGCCTCGATCTTTGCCATGCGCAGTACCCTGAGTTGCCGAAGAACTGCGAAGTGCTGGGAGGCTATCAGATTGCCTCCGTGGTCGCTTTCTCCTACTTGGTATTGACCATTTGGCACTGACCTTGGCTTTCTGTGCTGGGGGGGGTGCGGGGGGGGTCGTGTCTGGCAGTCAGCTGCACCTGAGCTCGTGACTCGTGATGATCTTCCAGTCACCCCCATGCTGGTTTAGTCAACAATTCCCGATGCGCCTCCTGTCATGCTTTGGAACCCCATGCGCAAGATGGGGATTCCGAACTTAGGGGTACCTTATTCGGGTCCTTCTTATAAGGGAATCCTACTATTTGGGGATTTATATAGGGGGTCCGCTAATTACGCTAATTTCGTAAACCCCTAAATCCTTCAACCCTCCCCAAAAAAGCCGAAATCCTGTCCCAGGCTTGCCATGCACGCTGCGATCGCTGCGCAGAGTTACCAGACCAGGGTTCTCACGCAACTCGTGCCTGAGCAGCAGACGGTTTCGGGTTTCGGGTTTAGGGTTTAGGGTTTCGCTTTGTGCCCTTCTGGGTCATTGTTGAAAATCATCTTACGTTTTTAAGCATACTAGCCTCCGTGCTCGAGCCATCCTAACGTCCGTGTTACCACTCCAAATCAATGTAACAAGCATGACTACGTCCGGCCGCACGGAGCATCGCCCTTGTGACTACAGCTGTCCGTCTTCCTGAAAGTTCGGTGCGCTTTAAAGCGCTGTTAAGGCCCCGATGTGCAACATTCAACGCCCCGAAGGGTTTAGGGTTGGGAGCTTCAGCGATTCTTGGAAGCATCAGGTGCGCTTGCCAATTCCGACCTGGAAGGAGTTGGAGGCGCCTGTGGCTTTTTGTAAACCTGAGGGTCGATGAGAGGCGTGTAAGGGTAGGTGTCAAACCACAGAACCTGTACCCATCAGGTGCCAACAAGAAAGGGCAAGCAATCTCTCTGAAACAGCCGAGCTACTTGTTGCAGAAGTTGCTGGCGAAAGAGAACCTCCCGAAAATGGCTTGCCCTTTCTCGGCTCTCGCAAGCTCCATTGTTCACTGATACTGCGCTGAGATTGGAGGGCAGTCATGGTCAAGGTTGTGAAAGGTTGTGAGCAGGGACTTGGGATGGTCCCCCTTATACTAGCAGGCCGTAATGGGGATATTAGAATCCCTATTAAGGTCTGTTAGTATAAGGGGGAGCATCCTAAGCCCTAAACCCTAAACCCTAAACCCTAAACCCTAAACCCTAAACCCTAAACCCTAAACCCTAAACCCTAAACCCTAAACCCTAAACCCTAAACCCTAAACCCTAAACCCTAAACCCTAAACCCTAAACCCTAAACCCCCAAGCAGGGACTTCATCTGACTAGTCATCCTTGCCACGTGTTGCTTTGGCAGAATCGTTTTTGTTGTCGGAGATCCAACTGTGCTTTTCCCCAGGCTGCCCGCACGGCGGGTTCAGAGTTCGAAAAGGTGGAATCCAGGCCTGCACGTTGAGGGTTTAGGGTTTAGGGTTTAGGGTTCAAGGTTTGGGGTTCAGGGTTTAGGGTTCAGGGTTTAGGGTTTAGGGGCTGCTTTGGTCAGCACAAGCTTCTGAGCTTTCTGTAGGAAGACAAGTCTTCAGGCTTGGAAACATGTTGACATATCTATGGGTTCGAAGCAAAGGTTTTGTTGACATGCCTTGTTCCTGTTGCATTTAGGCCCATGTGTGATCATGAGTGCGCATCTCCGCAGTATCTCTTATGCTTCGCCAGGATGAATTGCTGGGTCAGGAGACCGTGGATTCAACCAGGTTGTGAAAGTCTTATTGTGATGGTGACCGGGTGGCAGTGAGGATGGTGGTGGTGGTGGTGATGGCAGCGGTACAGATACTCGAACTTGTGTGTTGTGTTGGAAGCTTGACGTTGATGCACCTCTCGTATGCAGTGAAGTTACAAATGCATTGCGTCATGCTTGTCATTGATGTAGCCTATGACATTGAGTTGCAGTTCGCACCTGATGCCTGTTGTTTCCAAGCTCGACAAAAATGTGGGGAGGCTTGGTTTTGTTGTCTTTCAATGGCTGGGGAAGCATGCAGCGCAAGCAAAAAAGCTGCGCACCGGGCAAGTCGTGATTGTGGGCGCTGGTGTTGTCATCGGATACTGCAGCAAGAACCACGAGACCGATGCCATTGGGAGACGTGAATCTTGGTGGTTCATTGTTCTCCGCTGGATGTATTTTGAGCACGTTGTTCGAAAAGAAGCATGCCTTCCGCATCCATTCCGTTGTTCACCCCTGTGTTCGATGGTATGAAAGAGATGATTCACTTCACAGCCTTCCCAAATATGATTGGTGTGATTACTGTGTCGGCGTGTCTCTTGTGAGACGTGGATAAGATGCTTGCGTGGTTGTCGAAGTGGATGGCAGATTCTTCCAGGATATTCAGTGACTACTCGAAGGTAGGTATGTTCCACACGATCCTTTTCTGATGCGGCAGTTTTCGGTCTTCCAACGTTCTCTTCACCAACAGCAGCCAAACCTCTCTTGCACTCTCGTGCGGCGCTGCAGCCCACGCTGGCCCGGTCAGGCAGATGTTCCGCGTGCCGTTTGTCACCGGAAAGCAGGAAGACTTCGTTCCAGGACAGCAAAGTTTTAAGTTAAGCTCAGTCGAGCCAAAAGGCCCGCGCTATTTTGCAGTGACATGCTAGGACATTCAGCATCTCCTGATGATGAGACTCGCTCATTGGAAGAGTCTCGCAACACTGGCGGACCTGACAAGGCCAGATGCGGGGGGGGGGGGGGGGATTTTTTTCGCTCATGCTCCACATGAGGCATGAGGTGAACGGCTCGAGGCTTTGTGTTCGGGTCTCCAGGGGAAGATGATGATGCTTCATTGCGGTCGAGAATAATTACCCGGAACCAGCCCCCGAAACCCTAAACCCTAAACCCTAGACCCCAAACCCTAAACCCCAAACCCCAAACCCCAAACCCTAAACCCTAAACCCTAAACCCTAAACCCTAAACCCTAAACCCTAAACCCTAAACCCTAAACCCCAAACCCTAAACCCTAAACCCCAAAAAGAGGGCCTCTGTCAGGTCCATGGGGCTGTGGCCACGGATCCCTGGGGCCTTGAGCAACGGGGTGGCCCAGCTGTTTAGGGTTGAGGGTTTAGGGTTGAGGGTTGAGGGTTTAGGGTTGAGGGTTGAGGGTTGAGGGTTTAGGGTTGAGGGAGTTTTTAACAGTTTCCGTTTTCTTGGTGCTTTGGGGAGTTTGGAGCAAAGGTCTTCGTTCGTTGGCAGGGCCTTGGGGGTGGCTTGATGATCCCGAAGGAAAGCAACCATCACCGATCCTCCCCAGGGTCAGAACATCGGAAGTTTGCCCGACTTTTCCTCAAGAGTACGAGAAGCTACTGCTACTAGCTGGCATCAATGATGCGCTCTTGATGGAGATCGTCGTGACCCACTTTCACATGGAGGCATCTCAGAAATTAGGTTCCCCTTTCGTTTCCTTTTACATGGGCTGGTTTCTCTTTTAAGATGCCGCTGCAAGGCGATCCAACATAAACCAACCGTCCACCTGCAGAGCACGAGTGTCCTACCTGGAGAGAACTGCGGCTTTGCCAACCCCTTCGGCCTAAAACCCTAATCTGCAAGGAGATGGAATCTACGAGCTCGGCTGCTACAGTGGCGCTGAGGTGTCCAACTTCAGGGGGATGCACCAGATTCCCTGTCAACCTAAACCTTGAGCCCAAGCCTCGAAACTCAAAGGCCGAAACCCGAAGCATTCCTTTGGCACAGATGGGCAGTCGGCTGTGATGTAGTTCTCCGGTCAGCGCAGCTCGGTGCCCTTAAAACCAGCTGTTGAAGCGACTCCGTACTCTTGTCTGCATCCGGTGAGAGCCGAGAGTCGAGCAGGTCGCCGAGTTGCGGCACGTGAAGCTGCTGCGCCAGGCTGGACATTTGTGTCGCGGAGGGTCGCGTAGGATCGAGGCTGTGCATCTCTCGCCAAAGTGCTATGGACACACATTTCAAGCCTCGAAGTTCCGGTTTGCGCCAGCAGCTTTAAGGATTTTTACGTCTGTGGTGCACTTCAGGCCGCGGTCTACTGGCAGACCTACGATGCCTTCGCACGAGTGTCGATGAGCGTGGGCATCAACCAGCTTATGCTTGGCATGAGCTACTACATATTGGGGTCAGAGCCCTAGACTCATGAGAGGAGGCTGTTTTCATTGGCCTTGCTTTTTTTCAAAGGTCAGTCACAAGGGTTGCATGGATGCCTCTCAAACCCTGAGCCCTAAACCCTAAACATCCCTAAGCCCTAAGCCCTAAGCCCTAAGTCCTAAGCCCTAAACCCTAAACCCTAAACCCTAAACCCTAAACCCTAAACCCTAAACCCTAAACCCTAAACCCTAAACCCTAAGCCCTAAACCCTAGAGCCCGAGGTATGCGATGCTGGAAGTGAAGGCCCCCTTGGCAGCTCTGGCTGGCGTGCTGGCCTTCATGGGCTCTGCAGAGGCCGCCAGAGAGCCGGCGGAAGCTGCCTTCATCGTTTGGGGTTTAGGGTTTAGGGTTTAGGGTTTAGGGTTTAGGGTTTAGGGTTTAGGGTTTAGGGATGGTGAGAATCCCCTCCCCTCAATTCGGAACCCCCTAAATACCCCCGAAATTAATTACCCCCTCCAAATACTCTGGAAACTCTGTTGAACACATTATCATCGTAAATTTAACGACTAAAGCAACTTTCCTGGGAGCATTTTAATATTAGGGGGTAGGAGGGTTTAATATTAGGGGGAGGGGTTTGGAATAACGGTCAAGGCATGATTTGGGCCAAGGCCTTTTGCCTGGACAACGAGTCAGGGTATACTGTAACAAGCTTAATACATGCCTGGAACCACCAGACCACCAGACTCCATCGCCCGCTGCATATTGGCTCGCATACACAAAGCAGTTCTTGCTGGTATATTCTGCGACTGAGCGAATAGGCCTGACGCTCGGGACTGCCAAGAATATTGTTGTAGAGACCAGGTTTTCCCCCAGCGAGACCCCTTTGCTTGATTTGCTGAGGTCCCATGGTGACCATTCTGCACGGCAGACGTTTGGCATCAAGGCCCACACGCAGAACATCACTGCAAGAGCCTTTCAGGTTCAGCGTGGTGTGTGTGTGTGTGCAAAGTGCCGACAGCTGGAAGACCTGCTCGTGCTAGCGAAGCTGGTTGCAGGCTCTTGGCCCACAGGCCGCGAATTGCCCCGCAGGCCATCGACTTGCACCCAGCCCTGAAAATAGTCCCTTCAGGGCACAGCACCCCAGGGAGTGAGTACTCGAAGATTCCTGGCGGGTTCATCTGAACCATGGGCCCTTTCTATCCGGTGTCTGTCAGCGCAAGTTCCTCATAGCTTAAGCAAAGATGTACATTTTTTCTATATATAGGTAGACCTACACTTATTCTCGCAGATGTTAAGAGTCAGTCTAAGGGCCCTCACTGTCTTCACAACCTGCGAACAGGTTCGCACTGCGGTTGCCCGGACCTTAGGTTTCTGGGCTGATGGAACCTCACTTGCCCGTTTCAGAAGGGATGCCATCAAGGTGCCCTAAGCACGCGTGCTTAGGCTGCTCCGTTCCAGTACGAAGAGCTCTTTGACCTGCACCTTCACTGCAGCCGCTGTGTGTAGTGCAAAGGCTGTGCAGTGTACGCCCTCGGCGGGAGCCATCTTTCTGCGCTTGCATTCCCAGGCATGCAAATGAAGTCCCAACTCAGGCTGGGTTGCAAAGCATCAGTGTGGTTCAGATACGAGCGCGCTTCTGTTCATGATTGCTGCTCTCTGCAGTACCGGAAGCTGTCCTCGGATGGCGTGTCAACCTGCCAAGACCTCAACCCCAGCTGTCCGCAGCATTCCACCTTCATGTCTCCGCAGATCTTGTGAGGCACCCTTCCATCTGGGGAGAAGCTGCTGAAGGCTCCCAGAACGTGCACAGTCCGCTGCGCACGCGGACAGTTCACTGTCTTATGAGCTTGCTTTTCTGAACTCTGGAGCCTTCAAGTTCTGGCTTTGGGTCCTTCAGGGCTGTCAGTCGGTCTCTCAAGGTTTCTTGCTTTAGAGTTTCAAGGGGGGGGGGGGGCAGGAGTTGTAAACCCTACACCCCAAAGCTCAGTCCAGAATGGCCTGCAGAGCTAACTGTGATGACAGCCGAGGCCCGGAAAGCCTTCAAGTCGCACTTTAAAACCCTAAGCCCTAAAACCCAAAACCCTAAACCCTCACAAACCCTAAACCCTAAACCCTAAACCCTAAACCCTAAACCCTAAACCCTAAACCCTTTAGCCCTTAAACTCTTTGCAGGTGGAGTCGGAGGTGCTCGAGTCCTTGTCGCACCAGGCCATTGTTCCCTCCCCCTCTTCGGGCAGGGCTTCGAAGTTTAGTCTTTGAGGGCTTTAGGGGTCTTGAGGGGTTTTTCGGGGTTTCTTGGGGCCTTCAGGGCTTTAAGGGTTTTAAGGGTCTTAAGGGCTTTAAGGGATTTACGAGTTTTCATGGCTTGTAGGGTTTTTTTTTGGGGGGGGGGGGTTTGGGGGCCTTGGATGGCAGGGCGCTCGAGTGTGAGAACATCCCAGCTCTCAGCTTCTTGTGTGCCAGGCCATCGTTGACATCCAGCATCTTTTCAGGCCTGCTCACTTGGAAATGCTGTCAAACATTCTCAAGGACCCGGCGTGCTGGGATCCCCCCCTCCCCCTTCCCCACCTCATGAGAGTTGAAGTTTTTGGGCGTTTTGGGGTTTCGGGGCTCGGGTTACCCTTGCGGGCGGTGGTTGGGTTTCGGGCTTAGGGCATATTATTTGAAGCGGAAATGCTCCGTAACAATGTGGCTTTTTAAAATCTGTTCGGATGTGGTGGGATTCTTCGGGCGGGTGGGTGTTGGTCGAGAGAATGGCTGGACTAGACTCTTCACGCTCAGACCTGCTGAGCCCTAAACCCTAAGCCCTGAACCCTAAACCCTAAACCCTAAACCCGAAACCCTAAACCCTAAACCCTAAACCCCAAACCCCAATCCCCAAACCCTAAACCCTAGACCTACATGGCCTCCAGGGTCCATGATACGCGTCCCTCCCGTAGCCTGCGACTCGGAAGGATCCTGAGGCGTCGTCCAACGACCGCTTCGTGGCTTTGGAGCTTCTGAAGAATGCCTGCGCCGCTTGGCTTTAGGGTTTAGGGTTTAGGGCTTAGGGTTAATGGGAGTCCGGATGCAAAAGGGCTTAGGGGTAAGGGTTTAGGGAATCGGGGCCGCAGGTGACATTTTGCCGCGTTGTCAGCAGCGGAAACCCCAAATCCGAATAGACTCAATAGCCCTAAAATGCTCGAAGCCTGAAAATGCAACACCCCCAACAACCCAAATTCATATGGGTAACTCCCAAGATAGGGGACCCTCCCATTATACACCAACAACTACTGTAATCCTTATTATAGAAACCCTTAACAGGGCACCCCTATTTTTCGGAAATCCCCATCTATCCTAAGTCTCTGAAATCCCTAGACAACCTCGGAGCCTGAAATCAGCCCTGACCCTTCAGTTCACTATAAGCCCTAAACCCTAAACCCTAAACCCTAAACCCTAAACCCTAAACCTGAAATCCTCTAGAAACCCTAAACCCCAGACCCACAGGATGGCCTCAACCCGAAACCCCAAGATGCCACGAACCCTACAGCCCTAACCCAAGCAGTTGACGACTCGCTGAGTTTTTCGACCGTTTGGGCTCCACAGGTTACCCCTTGGAGCAAAGAGTCAGGTCACATATTGCGTAAAAAATGTCATAAGGCTAAAGGTCGGGTTTTATACGTCTTTCGGGTTTAGGCTTTTGCTGTCTAGGGCTGTAGAGAAGTGAAGTGTTTAGCTTCAGGGTGTTAGGGGTTTAGGGCTCCCCCGAGCTGCTGATCTCCCATTGCCAATGACATGTCGCTCCACTCTGTGTGCTGTGGTCACCACCAGAGCAACGGGCACGTGGCGGAGGCGCGCCGGGGGAAAGCCAAAAATGGGGATACCTTATTGTGGTCCTTATATCCTACTATTTGGGGATCTATATTGGGGGTGCCCTATTGTCGTAAACCACCAGATCGCGGTTGATTTGGTTTAGTTTGCTGGTTTTGAGGTTGATGTTTACGAAGGGAAGGGCATGGTGTTGGGAGTAGTCTTGCACCAATAATCGGCTAGCCATAGATTTGTGAACCCCAAGAGCTCCTACAAAAGGCTTCTGATGGCAGCTCCCATGAATATCGTGCATCTACTGGTGCTTTTGGTACGCCCATGTTGCGTGGCCTTTTGTATGAGGACTCGTGGTGCGCATAATTTCATTCTTTTTTCCGTTCGCCCAAGAGCCCAGTTTAATGAAGCAAATCCACGCGTGTTCTTGTCATTTAGTATCATTGGTTTGTGTGCTCTCACCTTCACAATCTTATCTTCGTACCTTTTTCCCGTTCATTCATGTTAAAGATTTTCTCATGCATCCTTCATTACATGTCGTCCTTATAAAATGTCTCAAATTCAGTCACTTCTTTGATCACATTATTCGGGCCCTTTGCCCAGTGATGAGAGTAATAATCAGAATAAGGCAACCTTAAGAATGACTGGATTGATTTATTGCGTTGCGCTGCAATGCTGTTGGACCTGGTCCTGTCTGCTTCGTTTGCAGGTGGTAACTCCACTTGACCTTCCAGGCGCTGCAAGATGTGTTCCGAGTGCATGCCCTCTCATGGTCGGACATGTGCCCTTGAACTGCCAAGCACGCCGCTGTTTCTCTGGCTCCAACTGCTCTGCTGCTTCAGGCGTCCTCGACTCCATCAATGATGGCCTAGGTGCGAGACGATCTCATGTCGGGGTTGCTTCCGGGCTTGCTTTGGGTTAGGATTTGATTTCGTTTCCCTCGCGATGTTTGCTGACAGTTGGGCCTAGGTTTCTTAGTAGCCCACTGCTCAGGGCAGTCCATGCAGATGCGAAGGTACCTCCCACAAGTTTCTTCCCGAACCGTTGCATCATTTGCAGTCCAGAACAGACTATCGCCAGCAGGTTTTTCTTGTGCATAGTCGCCTCTTGCAGGCACAGCGCTGAACTTGCTGCAGCAACGCTGGCTTGTTTACGGAAGTCCTCGTTGAGCTTTGCCCGACCCCGCTGTCTGCCCGCCCCCGGGATGTTGTTGGTGACTGAGGGCTGGCATAGTGCTGGCTATGCCCAGCATCTCTTCACAGCAGCTGTCGGAGCCGGCCCAACCCTACACCTCTTAAACCCTCAGCCCTAAACCTTGTAAACTTTGTAAGCCTTGTAAGCCTTGCAAACCTTGCACACTTTGTAAATCCTGCAACCCTCAACCCTGAGGCCTAAACCAAGGCCCAGGTCACCTGGGTGTTTCATGTCTTGACCAGGCAATGCTGCTGCGAGCAGCTGCAGCTCAAGGCCTAAGCGCACGGAGGGTCTTCGGACGAGGTGGTTTCCTGTAGGGTTTAGGGGGTTTGGGGTTTAGGGGGTTTGGGGTTTAGGGGGTTTGGGGTTTAGGGTTTGGAGTGACGCGCGATCTGGAATCGTTTTCCGATCGTGAAGGCATAGAGCCCATCCTTTGTGTGCCAATCTCTGACGCCAGCACCTTTGATCGGAAGCCAGCGTGTGAGTCCATCTCGTGTGGCAGAACCTGGCCATCGTCCACCAAGAGATGATGCTGCGCCAGGAGAGGCAGGCCGACTTGTAGCGGCATTGTAACGACTGGAGTGCCCCCCCGCTCCAACATGTTCCCATGGTGTGAGACGTCATTGACTGGTACCCGAATGGGCTCAAAGCAGGTGCTTGCAGGAGCTCACGGAGGCCTGGGCCCCATCTGCGGCCGCATGAGTCACTTTCGAAGAGCACGGGTCGAGTTGAAGCTGAGCAGGGCCTGGCAAGCTCCACCTCGTTGGCGGTGGAGAAGAAGGATGCATGTTTGCAGTCTCTTAAGAGCTTGATTGTAACCGTAGGCACCGTGGTTCCACAAAGGAGCCTGATGAGCGGAGCGAGGATCACGAGAATGAGGACAAGCTTGACTCTGTGGTGCATTTTCGGCTTGATGAGGCCTCGGCTTTGCCTTCAAGGTTGCTTGAATACACCATGAACACACCCTTTTGTCACGAATGATGTGGTATGTGTCATGAGAGATGTGTGCATTCACCAGGTCACCGTCACTGCAGAGGACCGGACGCCCAAGGATCCGCGGATGCATTTATGTGCCAATAGCAAGAGCCGATCTGCCCCTCGGCTTCTTCGAAGCAGAAGTCGGCTGGGATGTTAGCCGTGGCTTGGGCTTGAAGCCAAGGCCTTGACAGTCCCAGAAGGTGACCAAGAGCCGCCGAGAGATGAGTACTTGTTGCCAATCATTCGGAAAGGCCCCCCGCGCAAGCTGGAGTTCGAAACTGTGGCTCTGCGAGTCAGTGCTGCCTGTTTGTGAGGCTCTGGCTCACCTGTCGCCAAGAGGGTGAGTAGCCACGACGGGCCTAAATTCGGGCAGAGGCTGCCCCCGAGTGTGTCACGCGCATCTTTGCACTGCACATCTTGCCCGCATGAATCTGAAGCATCAAGTTTGGCCCCAATCTGAGCTGGAGGTTCGTCACTCAGGGGCAAGAGTCCGAGCCCCGGGCATGCAGTGAACCTTGATACCCCTGCAGCTCGTCATCGTGAGGTCGGAGCCAGAGACGGTGGCCTTTGAGATCATAGGACCGAGACGCTGACGTGAGGGTCTTGAGTCGACACCTACGTAGATGGCGTAGGCCGGCATGTGGACATGTGGGAGAAGCCTCTAAGATTCTAAGATGCAGAATCCCTGCAATGTCCAATTCAATTCGACTGACCCCCAGGACTCGCCTCACACGGCTCACCTCGGAGAACCCTGGCGAGCTCGGCCAGGCTGTCTTCAGCTTGGTAGCCCAGTGGTACCCTTTACCCTTTTTTTGGTTCAAGGTTCCCTTATAAAGTAACCAACCCCCCAAAACAAGGCTACCCGTGTTGTAATATGGTTACTGGGGTACCAAGTTCCGCTCAAGGCCAAGTCTTGTTCAGTCGGCGTGCATGAGCGCGATGTGTGGCAGGGAGATGGCGAGCTCCACGGCTCTCGGACGCTTCTTCTTCCAGTGGGTGGCCAGTGGTATTGAGTGGTGTGAGCACTGCAGGCACGACATATTTTGACCTCCATGTCCCGCTGTCCTGTGCCGCACATGCAGACGTGCATGGCTCGTGTAGTTGATCAGAAGGTCCCGTCAACCCTGGCCTGCACTCTGAGCCCGAAACCCCGGGTCTGGAACATCCTCCCGAAGCCCTACACCCTAAACCCTAAACCCTAAACCCTAAACCCTAAACCCTAAACCCTAAACCCTTGTGCCCAAAGGGAGCCAGACCGCGTTGGAGTCTTGGCGGATGTTGTCAAGAGCCATCACTTCGGGGCCGTGTGCATGACGGCTTCTTGGATGCCTTCGATCGTGCCAGGGCTTGCTCTGCAAACTTCTGTATGCCTTTATTAATATTTCTACAATTAGTAGTCTCACTATTATTATTATTATTATCATTATTATTCCTATTTTATTACGATTATTATTACTATTATTATTATTATTACTTATTATTACTATTATTATTATTACTATTATTACTATTATTACTATTATTATTATTATTAATATTATCATCATTATCATTATTACTGGCTTCGTGAGTCCTTGAGGTGATCCTTCTGAACTCCATTGTGATTTCTTATACGCTCCTGGGCTGCCATCCTTCTGTAGTAACACGACTTCCGAAAGCCCCTTGAATCGGAAGGATCATATTTGCGGGGGTTTCCGCAAAATAGGGTACCCCTTTTTCTTTTTTTTTTTTTTGGGGGGGGGGGGTCCTAGAATAAGGATTATAGAGTATTTAGGGGGGTATATTAGGGGGTCCCTTATTCTTGTACTCCCCTGTATGCCAGCAGTCCAAGATGCTCCTTTCTTGAAGCCTTCCCCCATGCCAAGACGGCAAGGTCGGACATCGAGATGAAAAGTCCAGGCTCGGTGTGGGCTGCAGAAGCAGTAGCAGCATCTAGGGTTTAGGGCTTAGGGTTTCGGGTTTCGGGTTTAGGGTCTAGGGTTTGGGGTTTAGGGTTTAGGATGAGCGGGTTTTCTGTCATCGCCATCGTCATGCATTTCGAGTCGATTAAGCTGAAGGCGGGCCATGAGGCTGGATGACATCATTTTTATAGACATGTTGGAACCATGGAATTCAGTTAATCAAGAGCCTCCAAAGCCATGCCGTATCAGGGAGGGTGCTGCTTGAATTTTTGCATGCTGTCTCAACTGCGCGCATCCGCCTCCAATACGCGCGAGTGTGAAGTGCGCCCCTTGAGGCAGCACTCAATTATTCATGCAGCACGCAACGCGAGGCAGCTTGCAGTGGCAGCCACTGAGTTCTACTTGAAATTCTACATGCCTTTCGAGTGAATCTGGAACACCAAAGGGTGAGTGCAAAGGGTGAGTGCAATGCTGTCTCAATTGCGCGCGTCCACCTCCTGCGCGCACGAGTGTGAGATGCTGTGTCATGCAGCACGCAACTCGAGGCAGCATGGCTAGGGAGGCCTTAGAGTCAAGATGACTTAAGACGTCTGTTTCCCAGACTCGAGCTCAGGTGCATAGCTGCAGGGCGGTTAGTGGGTTACATGAGGAGCTGTGCAGCGCATGCTCCCAGAAATCGATTCTGCTGCCATGTGGGTAAAAGCAAGCGATGCAGGTGCGCCCACACCGTATTCGCTGATGATGTGACGTGGCTGCAAAAGGCTTATAAGTAGGGTCGTTGAATTTAATATCCCTAGATGTATTCCCTCACTCTCCCTCGTCTGATGACATGTTCAAAAAGGGGTAACTGTTCGTGCTCTCCTCTCAGCTTGGTCTTCTCATTGCATCCCTCACCGCGGACAATCGCAAGCCCATGCATCATGCTGCCTGCCCTAGCTGCAAGGATAGAGTACACAGCTGCCCTAGAAGAGGCCCCGAATTTTCCTCCTGATCGTTAGTTCCGATTTGGTTCCACTCCTCCGTAAAGATAGATTTTCCAGGCCCCTTACAATAGAAGCACTGCTTTCGCACGACTGCTGGCGGCGGCAACGCGCTTTGCATGCCCTTTTGCCAGAAGAAGCGCCTTTTTACCGCAGATTGCTTCGAACCTTTCGGTGATTCGTTGCAGCGGACTCCCGGCACCCAACTCGACCCCAAAAGTCGTTGTCTCATGCGATGATGTTGCTCGGCTCCTTGCAGGATTGAGCTCGGATTTGCCTTCTTCTACGGGATAGAGATCTTGATGAAATTGGTGCCATGCTAAGTTTCATGGGAACTGTCTATTCTTGAGAAGATTTGCTTGACATCCGCCTTCACATTCTGAGGCTGTTCATCGCTTCTTGGCAGAAGGTCAGTTGAGGGCCGTGGTCCTTCGCTAAGAGATGTCTGCAACAAGGCTTGTACTTCTTCATCAATGACGACATGCGCTGGAATCTGTTCGACCTCAGCTTGGCACGGCCCTCACTGCGTAATCAGCCACCATGTGCGCAGACGCAGCAATCTCCTCCAGGTCTGCCTGTCCTTGGTGGAAGTCACCTCCTCGTTCATCTTGTTGTCCAAGGGAGCATCCCGTGAGGACCGACTGCTGTGCCCAAACGATGTGAGGGATAATAAGGACGCCAATAAGGTACCCCTAAACCCTAAACCTTAAACTCTAAACTCTAAACCCCAAGCCCCAAACCCTAAGCCCCCATGTGATACTGCATCATCGATTGAACGCGACAGGGGATGAACTTGACCTTCCTTCGTCTACTGCGCCTTTGCAAGATTGCCAAGGCACGAAGACCATTTTTTGGGATGTTCCCCTTTATACTCACAGTCCTTCCTGGGGATGATCATGGGGGCTACGATAATCCCTTTTAAGGACAGTGAGTATAAGGGGGAACATCCCAAACCACATCCGCTTGACGGTGCCCTCAGGGTGATGTGCCCACACTTGTTGGAGAGGTACTCCGCGTCCTTCGTACCTTGCGCTTCTTCCGTGAGCTGCGATTGATGCTGGACTGTGTCCTTGGATCAGTCATCAACGCCATATGGCTTTCCGGCAGCACGCCTGTCCAGGGATTTTGGAGGCTAAGATTCTGCTGTAGCCTAGTGGTCATGCGTCTACAGTCTACAGTCTAAGTCTCTACGTTCGTCCTTAGACAATTCAGAATCAAGAGGTGGCGAGCAAAATGCAATACCGAAAAAGTGCTTGTCCTTAAGGTGTGTTGCAATGCTCTTCTTCGTCCAAAGCTGAGTGTGCCGAAGCTACATGTATCTGATGGCTGTTCAGCTGCAAAATGCACACCCAGGTGATATTCATTTTTGCACTTCTGATGGTCCCGACCTGTGGTAAAGGGAGTATGCTGGCTGAAGTGAGGCAGGGAGCAGAGCATCGTCCTCAGGTGCAGGGCCTGGCCGACTACCTGGGACAGTACTCGCGCGAATTTGGGCCGGAGAGTCTGAATGAGGACTTCGTAGGCTGGATTGGGTTGCCAGCTTATCCTGCATCTTCGCTTGTGAGTGAGCGAGCGAGCGAGAGCGAGAGAGAGAGAGAGAAAGAGAGAGAGAGAGCGAGAGAGCGAGAGGGAGAGGGAGAGAGAGAGCGCGAGCGCGAGCGCGCGAGCGCGCGCGAACGAGAGAGAGGGGGGTCCTTCGGGGCTCTCTTCGCTGGGCAGAAGAAGGGAGAGAGAGAGAGAGAGAGAGAGTGAGAGTCAGAGTGAGAGTGAGAGTGAGAGAGAGAGTGCGATGCAGGCGACATCATGCTCTGGTATGGCTCAGTTAGCCGTGCTTTGCCTCAGATAGAGCCAGCCTATACCATGGATTCGTGTGACGATGTACAAGCCCAAGGAACGATTCTGACCCTGTTTCAGTCCACCACATCTGGCATAGACTGGCGTGACTGCTACCTTCCGCTTGAACAGAGCGCCTTGTCTTTACTCGGCGGTCCTGGCAGAAACGATCCCAGACTGTCATGCATGGCACATGGAACTGTTTGCAAAGAACGCCTTGACGAGCTCACAGAATGTCACCTCCATGTGGCTTTGAGGTTCCGAGCTGGTTGCGGGCATGTTCCTGGTGTTCGTTGGCCTCTTCACAATCTCTGCCTGCCGCTTACGATAAGTAGACACCTCTTACAGAGGATACATGCAGAAGTACACAAGCCCCATTGCTGGCAGCAGTTGCGCCCTCCTGACATAAACCCATTCCGGGAGTTCATGCCTCTCAGCGCATTCCAGCCGGAGGTTTGGAACATTGTCACGTCCGGCGCCCAGCCGTGCACAGTCCAAGGGACGCAGTCAATCAAATCACTGGATCGTCAGATCGACGTTCGTGGAGAAAGCACTGAAGCTGGCCCAGCCAGACCTGGAGTCTTTGGTGATGGAGCACCACTTGAAGGACACACAACATGCCTTACAGTGCATTTTTTCCCGTTGCCACGGCAGCCCGAGAACATCTTAAGCCGCTTCAGAGGGGCAGCGCCTCACCGAGGACGTCCAGGATGCCCAGGCACTGATCGACCTCTTCTGCAGCAGGGGCCTCAGCTAGACATAGGCAGACTCCTCTGAGCCAATGAATCCTTTGCATTCTAAGCCCTAAACCCTAGACCCTAAACCCCAAACCCTAAACCCTAAACCCTAAGCCCTAAACCCTATTGGGTTCAATAGGGTTGCCGGGAGGATGGGGATTCTGTGCCGAGGCCGACTGGGCTGTTCTGAAACGCCTTGCCCTCGATGTTCTCAAACTGGGTGCCACAAGGGCTGAGAGTTTAAGAGAGCACGTTCTAGCTCAACCCGACACCTGCTACTGAGTTACTGAAGCTACTGCAGAGGTCAAGCATCTGCCACGGGCAGTTCAAGCTCCTAGCAACACAGCACCGATTCCGGGCATATCTCACGGCACCCTGGCAGAAGTCGGAAATGCCGGGGGAAACAGCCGTAGCAGTTGGTCGTCGATTGGAAGGCGCGCGGCATCGACATCAAAAACGTAGAGGCCTTGCCGGTTCGAGGGCACCCGTTGTACCCATGTGCGTGCGTGCGTGCGTGCGTGCGTGCGTGCGTGCGTGCGTGCGTGCGTGCGTGCGTGCGTGCGTGCGTGCGTGCGTGCGTGCGTGCGTGCGTGCGTGCGTGCGTGCGTGCGTGCGTGCGTGCGTGCGTGCGTGCGTGCGCGTGCGTGCGTGCGTGCGTGCGTGCGTGCGTGCGTGCGTGCGTGCGTGCGTGCGTGCGTGCGTGCGTGCGTGCGTGCGTGCGTGCGTGCGTGCGTGCGTGCGTGCGTGCGTGCGTGCGTGCGTGCGTGCGTGCGTGCGTGCGCGTGCGTGCGTGCGTGCGTGCGTGCGTGCGTGCGTGCGTGCGTGCGTGTGTGTGTGTGTGTGTGTGTGTGTGTGTGTGTGTGTGTGTGTGTGTGTGTGTGTGTGTGTGTGTGTGTGTTTTAAAGGTGCTCTTGTGTTGTCCTTGTTCAGACGCACTGCTCTTTGCCTCCTTCTGCGTTTGTGTTGCTTTTGATCCAGCATTTGCCTCTCTTTTTGAGGTGTTCCTCTTTTCTCCTATGCCTGGGCAGAAGGTAAAACTTCGTCCGCTACCTTGTTTTTATTTCCGTTTTCATTGTTCTTTGCGTCCTTTGTCGTTTCTCTGGGTTTTGATCAAGCATTTGCCTGTGTTTTTGAGGTGTTCTTCTTTTGTCCTGTGCCTGGGTGGAGATAGAGGTCCGTCACCTTGTTGCTTTTATTTCCGTTTGCATTGCTGTTTGCAAGCTTGTTCGTGTTTCTTGGCAGAGCATTTGCCTATGTTTTTGGGCTGTTCTCCTTTTGTTATGCCTGGGTAGGAGAGAAACTCCATGACCTATTTTGCTTGTATTTCTGATTTCATTGCTCTTTGCCTCCTTCTGCGTTTGTGTTGCTTTTGATCCAGCATTTGCCTCTCTTTTTGAGGTGTTCCTCTTTTCTCCTATGCCTGGGCAGGAGGTAAAACTCCGTCCGCTACCTTGGTTTTATTTCCGTTTTCATTCTTTGCGTCCTTTGTCGTTTCTCTGGGTTTTGATCAAGCGTTTGCCTGTGTTTTTGAGGTGTTCTTCTTTTGTCCTATGCCTGGGCGGGAGATAGAACTCCGTCACCTACATTGCTTTTATTTCCGTTTGCATTGCTGTTTGCATGCTTGTTCGTGATTTTTGGCATAGCATTTGCCTGTGTTTTTGAGCTGTTCTCCTTGTCATTTGTTCTGCCTGAGTAGGAGAGAAACTCCGTGACCTATTTTGCTTGTATTTCTGATTTCATTGCTCTTTGCCTCCTTCTGCGTTTGTGTTGCTTTTGATCCAGCCTTTGCCTCTCTTTATGAGGTGTTCCTCTTTTCTCCTATGCCTGGGCAGGAGGTAAAACTCCGTCCGCTACCTTGGTTTTATTTCCGTTTTCATTGTTCTTTGCGTCCTTTGTCGTTTCTCTGGGTTTTGATCAAGCATTTGCCTGTGTTTTTGAGGTGTTCTTCTTTTGTCCTATGCCTGGGCGGGAGATAGAACTCCGTCACCTACATTGCTTGTATTTCCGTTTGCATTGCTGTTTGCATGCTTGTTCGTGATTTTTGGCATAGCATATGCCTGTGTTTTTGAGCTGTTCTCCTTGTCATTTGTTCTGCCTGAGTAGGAGAGAAACTCCGTGACCTATTTTGCTTGTATTTCTGATTTCATTGCTCTTTGCCTCCTTCTGCGTTTGTGTTGCTTTTGATCCAGCATTTGCCTCTCTTTTTGAGGCGTTCCTCTTTTCTCCTATGCCTGGGCAGGAGGTAAAACTCCGTCCGCTACCTTGGATTTATTTCCGTTTTCATTCTTTGCGTCCTTTGTCGTTTCTCTGGGTTTTGATCAAGCATTTGCCTGTGTTTTTGAGGTGTTCTTCTTTTGTCCTATGCCTGGGTGGGAGAAAGAACTCCGTCACCTACGTTGCTTTTATTTCCGTTTGCATTGCTGTTTGCATGCTTGTTCGTGTTTTTTGGCATAGCATTTGCCTATGTTTTTGAGCTGTTCTCCTTTTAATTTGTTCTGCCTGAGTAGGAGAGAAACTCCGTGACCTATTTTGCTTGTATTTCTGATTTCATTGTTCTTTGCGTGCTTCTTCGTTTCTGTTGTCTTTGCTCCATCGTTTGCCTATGTTTTTGAGGTGTTCGTCATGTCGGGCGTGTGACCCCAACCAACCCGCTTCGTGAACCTCGCGCGCCGTTTGAAGCCTCGCTTCCAAACGCTCTTCTGACCGACCCCTGGCTCGCAATCCAAACTTTGCCGTTGTGCTGCTCGCAAGGCTAAATGCCCTGGATTAGCCGAAGGATTTGAGCCATGGGGGCCCTTCTAAGGGAGCATAGGGCACCGGGATTCGGTGGAATTTGGAATCTGCCCACTTTGACGCTTAGAACAAAGCAAAAAGGCCCGACTCAACAGGACGTATAGAACAACGCAAAACGCAAGTTTTAAAACTTCCTCCTCCGCCGGTCTTTGGGTCGGTCGCCCGCTTCTCCCACCCTCCGCCGGTCCTTGGGTCGGTCGCCCTGTTTTTGCAGGATCCGCGTTGGTTCTCGGGGTGCCGGTTGCCCCGGGGGGTCCTTGGGTCCCCCTCCCGTGGGCCTTTATGCAAGCACATGGGGACAGATTCTAAATTCATCTAGGTTTTTCTAGTTGGGGGGGCTGCCCTGCTTGGTCCCTTCCTGGGACCCTGCAGGGGCCCCACAAAACTGATACGGAGTTACAGGTAAACTTAACAAATTTGTATTTTTCTTTCCTCGCTCACTTGCCCGCAGCCGCCTCAAGGGTCAGGAATCCTATCAGAGTGCCCAGCCTAGGTATGCACAGTAGGACACTCTGAGGCTGTACAGTCTGTACATGAACGAAGCCATGCCGCCAAACACCCACACCACCCGAACCCCACATCACCCCAACCACCCACATGACCCGAACCACCAAGACCGCCCCAAGCCACCCGCCCCCTGAGCCACCCACGCTGACGAGCCGCCATCCGCACCGCCCGCCACCAGTGTGAAGGCCCCCCCCTCTCCCAAAAGGCTGCGAACTAGCCCTAAACCCTAAACCCTCATAGCGTCATCCCTGCAAAGGGCGCCCAAATCCTCCAACTACCCCAAGCTGCCCAAGCCGAAGCCACCCAAGAAACTCCCTAAGCCCTGAGGCACCCTAAAATGGCGGGGGGGTGGGGTCGGCGGCACTGGCGGTAGCCATTAAATCGGGCAGCGCGAGGTCCCCAAAGGACCGAGCAAATGCGGACCTTTTAGCCCGGGTCGTCCCGGGAATAGCCTTGCTGGCCTCTGGCCTTCTGCGAAGCAGAATTAGGCCGGACGCCAGTGCCGCCGACCCCCGCGTGCCGCCGGTGAACGGTTTTTTTTTCGTGGTTTTTTGCGTCGCCACGGAGGCCCCCAGAGGGCGCGCATCATGAGCATCAGCGGGTCCAGCCCGGGACCCCCAGGCGCGCATCAGGAGCATCAGCGGCTCCCGGGGCGGGACCCCGGGGGCGCATCAGGAGCATGATGCCCCCCAAAAAACGGGCTAGGAAAAAGGGAGTTTAGGGGCCTTATAAAGTGCTTAGAAACGTTAAGGGAGTCTAGGAGCCTCAAACGCTTAGAGATTTGAAGGGAGTTTAGGGGTCTGAAAATGCTTAGAAACTTAACGCTTAGAGATTTTAAGGGAGTTTAGGGGCCTCAACATGCTTAGAAACTGCTCGCCCCGGGCTTCTGCGTGCGCTGCCCGACCATGGGCGCAGCCCCTTAAAATATATCATACATATCTCATGTATACTCTACTATATATACTATATATATATATATATGACTTATGAACCAAAAAAATACACTAGATATACTACATATAACACTATATATATATATGTATATAGTCTATATATATATAGATACGGTATGCACATATGCTACATGTATACACTAGACACAAACATGGAAAAGCAAAAGCAACCGTCAAAAGCAGAAAGCCAAAAAATGACCTGAAACAAAAAGGAGCTAAGAGAAAAAGCAAAAGCAAAAGCAAAAGCAGAAGCACAAGCAAGAGCAAAACCAAAAGAAAAAGCAACAGGAAAAGCAAAAGCAAAAGCAAAAGCGACAAGCAAAAAGCGACAAGCAAAAAGCGACAAGCAATTCAGACAGGCAAAAAACGACAAGCAAAAAACGAAGCAAAAGCAGCGAAAAGCAGAAAGCGAAAAGCATAGGCAGAAACAAGGAGAAAGGAACAAAAACAAGCAAAACAAAAAAAATACCCAAAAAAAAAACAAAAAATACCCAAAAAAAATGTTCTCCCTTAGGGTTTAGGGTTTAGGGTTTAGGGCGCTTGTTAAAAGATGGGCTTAAGGGGGTTTAGGGGGGTTAAGTGGGCTTAGGGGGGGTTTAGGGGGCTTCAGGGGATTTAAGGGAGTTTAAGGGGGTTTTACGGGGCTTAAGAGGGTTTGAGGGGTTTAAGTGGGTTTAGGGGGGTTTAAAGGGGTTTAAATAAGGGGTGCCAAAATGGGTTGGGGTTAGGGCTTAGGGTTTAGGATACTCTACACCGCTTTACTACTTCCTCCCCTCCCCCCCCCCCCCAAACCCGGCCGACACATGGCCCCCAGCCTAGTTGCACTAGTACTGATGAGCACATGAAGTGCGCCAGATGCTGACAGCTTGCTGTGCTTCTGAGTGCTTAGGGTTTCGGTTGAGCCCTTCTTGTTTCAGCCTAAACCCTAAACCCTAAACCCTAAACCCCAAACCCTAAACCTGTAGACCCTAGACCCTAAACCCTAACAACCCCCCCTCCCCCTCCCAAAGTGGACCAACTCCCGGCCCACCTTCGTCCTCGGCGTCTTCGGCTTCGGAGAGGCCTGAGAGGCCTGCAGATTCAGCACGTAAAAACCCGAAAACCCACTAAAACCCTCTAAAACCCACTAAAACCCGGCGAAACCCTTTAAGGCCCTTTGAAGCCCTAGAAAACCCTGTAAAACCCTTTAAGACCCTATAACCCTACAGCCCTCAACCCTGAAACCCTAAAACCCTGAACCCGAAACCCCCCGCCCCCCGCCCCCCGCCCCCACCCCCCCCCCCAAACAACCCCAGCGCCGCAACACGAGGCTTTTGGACGCCGTCTCTCAGTCTCAAAGCGCCTGCAATGCCCAGGCCTGTAGCAAGCCGATGACAACGCCCAGAATACCACCCACCAACAACAGAATCCACTCATCATCCTGAAAGATCGGATGAATTATGCTTTCAAACTCAGGTGGCGAAATGCGCGAAAGGCGCCATGTAAGAGTCTCCTGCACTTTCATCGTTCTGTCCATGTAGTCTTCAATCGCCCTCGAATGCTGTGGCAATAGCTCCAACGAAAAATCAATCACATCTTGTTTCATCTCGTCAATCTGCAAACCAAGTGTAGGGGCAACCATTGCCATGTTTTTGGCTATGCCCATGCTCTTGTCGACGGAGCGGCCGACATGGCTCCGATAAATGTCTAAAACCTTTTCCACTCCCGTGGACGACGGAGATCGCAACATGTAGTTGAGCATTGCTCTCGCATCCACTACGTTCCTGCAGATCAGCTCTGCCATCTTCTGCGATGCCTCGCGTTGGCGTTTCAAGAAGACCCCCTGCACAATGATTCTGCCATTGCAGTACTGGTGAGGCCATACTGGACGAAAAGTCATCTTCAGCGCCAACAAGTTCGTGTAATACCCTATGATCAGCCCAGACACAGGTAGCATGACGTAGTCCATTCCCGGGTAGTCTTTCAACATGACGTAGAAAACTACCTGAACTAACCCCAGGACGAACCCCATCACTGCTGCGACGCGTTGGATGAAGACCAGCTCCTTCAACGCCACAGATCTGAACATATCTACCATCATACGTGGGTTGTTGACGAAGGTCTCAACAGCCATCGCTTGCAAATCGAGAATAGAACTGATGTTCGTCTTTAAGTCCACCATGGCCTGTCCAAAGCTCTGCTTGGTGTCCTCGAGTACTTTTAGCTTCAGCTCGTGCTGGACAGAGCTGGGAAGGGCAGACCAGACGGTCGGCAAACGTTTCCGCATGATTTTTTCCAAAACCTGAAAACAAAGGCCACCCATGAGATCCTCTAAAGCATCGAAGAAGTGCTGGGGCTCAATCCGGTCCATGAACTCCTCGACTGTGACGATGTTTCCAATCATCCGTGCGCAAGCTCGTCGTGCCATGACATCGGCTTTTCGTGGCACAATGCCCTGCCATCCATTTATGGGAAGCCCAAGCCAGGTAGGAACAATAGGGTGTCGAGGGCATCCGACGAACTGGATCGGAAAGAACATCATCTGCAAGGCCAGCCAGACATGAAACCACGTGAAAAGAAGACAAACCAGAGGCACGGAAAGCAGCTTGATGAGCGGAATCAATTCAGCAGGTAGACCACTCGGGCTCTTCTTGGCCATGCTATCGTCAGCCAGCTGGACCCATGCCACACCAATCCAGATTGCAGTCCCTGCAAACACCACGAATATAAATGCATTGAAAGCATGCGCTCTGATGAACTCGACGAGCGGCGGATAGGCTACACGTGCCGGGGGCTCGTATCCAAAACGCTCTGCAGAACTGCCCTGGGGTTGCGAGGTCAGCTGGACCCGCAGCGATCTGCTGCTCGTGTCCCTCGAGTCGAGCATGGTCGCCATCAACAGAGGGACAGTCGCACTAGCTTACCCGCCTCGCTGGCGCATGTTCGGCGCGATGTGTTTAGACGTCGGTTTGTTCTCCTCTCTGAATCTGTGACGCTTGAGCCCAGGGCTTCCCCAGCCGCCACATAGTAGGTTTACATTATTGTAGTACTCTGATGTCTTACCATGTCATATGACTGTGTCTCAGTACTATCTACCGATCATGATAGAAATTATATATATATATATATTCCTCTGCCAAACTCTTAGGTGGACTATTCAACCTTCAATCCTGGGCCCTGCCTCGACATCTCGGCCAGTCTACACTCTACGGGGTCCGCTTAGGGTTTAGGGTTTAGGGTTTACTCTTCCTACCAGTAACTCATGGTTGTGATGCTTCATGTCTACTTCCACGGTTCATTCGTAGACTCTTCTTGTTCACTGTTAAAAAAGATCATGTATAAACAGGACCAGCTTTTTTCTTTTTTACGAGGGTTTATTCGTTCGATGTTCGCCCTGGAGGTCTTGCCAAGGCTGGGTTGAAGTGGCGTTGAGGAACGACCCCCTTGTAAACGAGCAGGGTTTAGGGTTTAGGGTTTAGGGTTTAGCGTTTAGGGTTCAGGGTTTAGGGTTTAGGGGGGAATTGCACAGTGATCACGAAACCTGCAAAATCAGAAGGAAACAGCTGCGAGACCTCAAGAGGGTGGCCTTTTCAGATCAGAGTCCCATCTGGAGCTCTCTTTGTAAGGGAGTCTATGATGAAAAACGGCCCAGAAGGACTTCCTGTTGTAAACCCTAAACCCTAAACCCTAAACCCGAAACCCTAAACCCTAAACCCTAAACCCTAAACCCTAAACCCTAAACCCTAAACCCTAAAGCAAAAGACCCTGAACCCGCAGCCCCGCCACCCTTCTCAAATGCAGTGCCAAGATGGCCAAGGATGATGATGCTGCTGCGTTGGGGTGTTCCCCCCTTATACTAACAGTCCTCAGTAGGGATTAGAATCGGGGGCACTATAACCCTTATCAAGGGCTGTTGGTATAAGGGGGAACATCCCAACTGATGATGGTGGTGTGATGATGCTGATGGTCTGATGATGGTTCGTCGATTACTAATCTGATCGCCGCCAGGCTACGACTACAATACATACGAGTATGGTTCTTCTTGCCTTGATCATTGTATGGTCTATCAATATTCATATAGCTGCTTCGACAATTTGATAAGTGTTACCATACCGATTTGTCGATTTGTCAAATTCAGACGTTGCGGGTGTGCTTCTATTGTTGCTGCTCATTTGTTTTGCTATCACGGGTTCTGCAAGCACTCACTGCAACATCATGCTGCTAGGCAACCCTGACGTTTACGATTTAGCAAGCAGGCTACAACAAGGGTCCCGAGTTCACCCTAAACTGGAACTATAGCTCAGCATTTTTCCCCTTATACTAACAGTCCTTCATCGGATCTAATAAGGGGGTACAAAAATCCCTATTCAGGACTGCTAGGATAAAGGGGAACATCCCAAACTATAGCTATAGTTGAACCTTTCTTTGGGGTGCGGTGCGAACTAAACACCCCTAATTTGGAATGTGGCCTCGGCCTCTTCCACTTCAGTCTGGATGGCGATCGACTGGCCAGCGTCAAGAGCAACGAAGGGTCGCAGCACTTTCAACGTCACGAAAACGGGGTTTTGCGGGAACACAAGGTGACCTAAGAATCCAAAAAAGGCTGAGGGCTTAGGGATCTGAATGGATTATGCAGCGTGGGGAACCCAACCCCTAAACCCTAAACCCTAAACCCTAAACCCTAAAGGGAACTCTTCAGCATCCCTGGCCCTGGGAGGCAAACGGAAAGGGGGGAGGATTGTGTGATGCAAAACCCCAAAACCCTCAACCTTACCAACCCAACAACCTAAACCCACTCAACCGAAAATCTGAAACCCCAAAACCCGAAACCTGGAACCCTAAAGCCCTCAAACGTCAAAAGCCCTAGTCATCGAAGTTATGCCTTAGATTCCACAACCGCCAACAATCGAGAAGGTTAACTGTTCAAGATTAGAGCCCCTTTTTGCTGGCTTCCACTTACTGACAAACCTTCAAGCTAAACCCTAAGCCCTATATGGTCACCTTCAGTCTTAAAGTATGCTTACATTACTTGACATTGCAGTACAGTACAGTACAAGTACATTCCTTTACATTATCAGTACGTACACACATACACACACATATGCACACATATGAAGAAGGGTATATAAACATTGTATCCCTGGAGTCTCCGAAGAGCTGTCCGAGCAAGAAGCGAAAATAAAGTAGGGTATGTAATCCTTGTATCCCCAAAAAGGACTCCCAATACATACACTCACCGATATCAAAGAGGAACCTTATATACACTCACAAGAAGAACCTTATATACACTCACCAATATTGAATAGGAACCTGAAATACACTTCCAAATAACAGTAGTATAATCCCTGCTTCATATAACACCCACTTGCCCCTCAAGTGCCCCAATATGGTTATCAGTACAGTTACCCTAAACCCTACACCCTACACCCTAAACCCTAAACCCTACAGCCACAATTGGTTCATAAGCACCATGCACCCCCAAATATAGCAGGGCTCCGGGCAGCGCTGGGTCGACGCTCGACGCTCGGGCTCGGCTGCTTCTTCGCCGGTGCCTCCTCGCACGATGTGACAAAGAGGCGGAGGAGGGTTTGGGCTTGGGGTTTGGGGTTTGGGGTTCGGGGTTTGTGGATGGGGGTGGGGGTGGGGGGGGCGGGGGCTTGTGGATGGAGGGGGGGGGGGGGGCTTGTGGATGGAAGGGGGGGAAGGGGGGGTTGTGGATGGAAGGTGGGGGGCTAGTGGATGGAGGGGGGGGTTTGTGGATGGTGAACCCTAAACTCTGAACCCTGAACCCTAAACCCTAAACCACAAACCCTAAACCCTGAACCCCTTTCACGACGACTCAGGGGACCTTCCTTTCTCAATGGGCATTGGGAGTGTCTGGGATTGGGAGGTTGCTCCCAGAAGCACGATGGCAGAGGCACATGCCGCCGCAGAAGTGGCCTGGAAAGCAACCCAGAGCCTGCAAAAAACTCAAACCCCATCAGAGTGAGCCGAGGAAGCCAGGCCTGAGCGGCTTAGGGTTAACCCTAAATCCTAAACCCAAAACTCTAGGGCTTGAGGGACTACAAGCAGAGAGCCTCGCTGGAGGCGGCGGCGGTTTCGGCAAGTGCAACCTGTTCAAACACTCGTCACGTTCATGCGCTTTCGGAACCCAGGGGTTCAGGGTTTAGGGGTTTAGGGGTTCAGGGGTTTCGGGGTTTTAGGGGTGTTGCCGCCCAAGCTGAGCATCCGGGCACCGAATTCCCGGGTTTAGGGTTTAGGGTCCAGGGCCTGTGCACCCCCCCTTCCCGATTCCAAGATGAAGGCATCGATCACCCTATTGAGATCTAAGGAGTACTTTCCAGGACTTCTTCATTGAAAGCAAAGGGTTGTTCCGATAAATTTGCAGAACCCTAAACCCTAAACCCTAAACCCTAAACCCTAAACCCTGAACCCTAAGCTCTCTGAAGTCGAAACAGAGACCTTCAGGGTCAATCCTCGGCACCTATACCCCTCTGAACCCAAAAAACTGGAGCCATACTCAACCAACTATATACCGCGAATAGTAGTGAACCGACAACAAACTAAACGAACCTTAGCCTTAGTTGTCCAGTAACCTGGGGAACTAAAGGTTAACGTTTGGGATTGTAAGGGATTATATTACCCCAAAAAGGTCAAAAGTTACCTGCTCTACTACTAAATAGCCCTCGGTATGAGCCTCCTACTTCTGAGGGGGTGGCAAGGGGTGCAAGAAAAACCTTACACCCAACCTAAGCCCTATAAGGGGGATTTCCGAAAATTGGCGTCCCCTTCTTCGGGGTCTCTCTTCTATTCCATTTGGGGTATACAGGGGTAGCCCATACAATAAACTCCTGGGATTCTACTTACCTACACTTTAGTACAAATACCCCTGAATTAGTCGGTAGGACCCAAAAATCTGTACGTACAGAGAGCCCCAGGTAAGCCCTGAACAAGAATCTTGGGTTCGCGTAAGAGTTTAGGGTTTAGGATTTTAGGGTCTATACTACCTCCCCTAGGCTACTAAATAACCTTAATTAGGCTTAAATATCCCTGAATCGCCTTAATTATGGGGGGAACCGAGGGGGTGTGGGTTCCCTAAGAGAGGCCCTGCCTGCTCCGTTCGACCTGGGGTCACAGGCTCAGAGGACGAGCGCGGCGCGGCATCCTCCAAAAGTGGCGATATCTCGTGCTTCTGCGTTGCGAACTGCCAGGGCTTGAAGCCCTAAACCCTAAACCCTGAACCCTGAACCCTGAACCCTAAACCCTAAACCCTAAGCCCTAAGCCCCCTACACCGGGCCTGTTTGTTCTCTAGGTTGAGGGTTTATAAGGCTGCGAGACTGGGGCGTGAAGAAAACCTTTGGGAAGCCGCTTTCCTAAAGAAACGACCTTCCTAACACCCCACAAGGAAGGGGGGGACACCCTAGACACCCCGCAATCCTGAAGCCTGAGTCCCCGGGTGGATGCCCCGTCTGCACGTACAACCCTGGTAGGGCTTGGGGTTTAGGGTTTAGGGTTTAGGGTTTAGGGTTTCGGGTTTAGGGTTTAGGGTTTAGGGTTCAGGGTTCAGGGTTTGGGGTTAACCCTTTTGAACTGTTGTCAACCCAGACTGGACCACTCGCTAAGAAGCAGTCTTGCACCTCCCCCAGCGCGGCCCCAACCATCTTGCTTCCAAGAGGTATGCTTGTCACCCTAACCCTCAACCCTAAGCCCTAGGCCCTAAACCCTAAACCCTGGACCCCAAAACCCTTAATTAGAATGGGCTCAGGGTTCAGGGCTTGGGGCTTAGGCTTTGACCCCCAAATCCCTAAACCCGTTTCGCAACCCTAAGCCCCCGAACCCTAAACCCTAAACCCAAAGATGGCCTTGGAATCCTTTCTCCGATGGTGGTCCGACTG